GATCAAAGAGTGTGAAAGAAATTATTCCAGTGCGAGATTGCATGCAATGAGGGCAAGCCTGACTGGGTTAACAGGTATGACCAATTCACAATAGTTGGTAAATAGTGCTACATTGCTGAAATATATTGATCTACTTTCATGTTCACATGCGCCACCTTAAAACTGCTGGATGTATTGTGTTAAGATCTACTTGCAAGGTAAGAGACTTGAGTCCTGCACTAGTATAGGATTCTGGTATGAGGTTTATAAGGCTGCAAGGTAAGAAAGAGACTTGAGTCCTGCACTGAAAGTATAGGATTCTGGTATGAGGTTTATAAGGCCTTGGGCCCTCCGACTACAATGGTTAGATTTTGTGGTATGGTTCTCCCAAAGTTCTTATCAATTGGTATCAGAGTTTTTTTACCGAGTTTGTCAACTGCAAACAAGTATTGCACCAGCCTGCATGGGCACTCTAACTGGAATGTGGTGAGATGTTAGGATCCAATCATAAGGTATGAGATTCTAATGTGGGGTTTATAAGGCCTTGGACTCTCTAATTACAATGGTTTTAGATTTTGTGGTGTGGTTCTCCAAGGTTCTTATCTTATATAAAGTCAGGAGCAAATTTTGGCAGAGAAACTTCAATGATATCCTAGATCCTATGAATCATTGGCAGAACAATCTACTTTCATTCATCAGATTACCTAACAAAATATTCCAGCAATGTGATGCAAATATGGAGTGGATGTTGTATATAAACCGATGGCAGCTAAAGGAATATCACAGGGTTGTTGCACGCCAGCATAGAGCAGAGCATATGGAATAGAAGAGGGCATTGAAGATTTGAAGGTTAAGAAGAAAAAAATTCCTTCACTAGGTAAGACAGCTCCTATGATAGAGTTGTGTCAGGTACCATTTGAACAGGATAAGAATTTTCAGCAGTTACGAGATTGTTTGTTCTGTGAAGTGTGAAGGTTGAACTTAAGAGATTGTGATATATTTTTTCAATTCACGTTGATCTATGTGATAAATGTTATTCTTGTGAAGCAATTAGATGTCCATGCTGATGCTGGTTGGCTGGTTCAGATGCAGTTGATGGTCTTCATGTCCTTATTGGCAAATCGCACATGCATTTTTTATATTATGATGATGAGTTTAATATATGGGCAACAAAATATTTTTATTTTAAATAGAAGTACAAATTATGCATTCATTGATCAGTCTCAAATTCATATGTATCTGACACCTTTTATGTATATTACTAGCAAACTTGGAAGCTCAAAAGGAATTTATGCCTGTGAAAAGATTACGCCTAACTCAATTGAGACACGAAGCTCGTTTAGGGAATCGCTATTCTGCTATGCAAGGACTGCCTGGAAAATATAGGTATATTTTACCCCTTTTAATTTTAAGATTTGTTTTAGACCTAATATATTGAGTTGGCCCTAATCATGAATTTCATGGGATTAGTCAAATGGAACAAGACAAGGTCTTATATTGAAGAGGTTGTAGGTTTAGGTCCTTTGTCTCACTGTGATAAATGTAAGTAATCCATCTATTTGAGCCTAAATACTTTGCTTTGAATTGGGACACCAACTCCTTTCCTTAAAATTTCTTGGAAAAAAAAGAAGAAAAAACATATAGCAAACTTTTTTTTTCTTAAATTTCTCACGTTGTTTATATATTAACTGTAAAACTCTTGCTACGAATGAACATTCTGAATGTAGGCCTTGTTGATTTTGCATGAGTTAGTCAATGCTTTTCCATTTCCCTGCCATATATCAAGCTTTGATGGGAGATCAACGTTTTGTTTTTTGTTTTCTTGTGCAGATGAGATTTGGTAGTAAGCATTTTAAAGGGCTAGGATGTATACAGAACGAGTCCTACAAGGCTGATATGGAAAATTTATGTTGCCATATGTAATACTTTTTTGATGAACATATCTATGTACACCCAATGAGGCCATGACACGCGACAAACTTTTTATTGGCTTTATTCGGTAGAAACCTTGATTAGCTCATATGAATCACAAAAGGATTGCTTCTAACTTCTGTGTTATCTTGTCTTTACTGTTATCTATATTTGAAATCAAAACAATTTTATATTATATCATTATTTTCTATAAAACATATTTTTTGTTAAAATGTTTTAATTAATTTTTTTTATCAGATCAAGTGTTTTAATATTTTAAAATAGAAAAAAGAAATAAAAAAAAAACACCAAGGATAACACTAATTTATTATATTTATAATTTTTTTCTTATCTCTCCCTTAATTTCTATATCCAAATTCATCATCGGCTGTATATTAAATACGAATGCTGTATATTAAATACGAATGTCATCTTATTCAAACATAATATTTATTTATATATATTTTATTATGAATTTTAGTTGTATATAATAATTAACATGTACATTACACATGATAAAATACTAGTCAAAATAAAATTAATTATTGGTTAATTAAAAATATCATTTTAGTTTTTATACATTATTTTATTTTTAGTTTTTATTATTTATTATCATATAAAATAAAAAATAAAGTGTTTAAGATTGTAAAAGCTATATATATATGAATAAAAATAGAATATTTATTTAATAGAGAAAGGATGGAAGGTAATTAATGTGGAAATTATTCCCCCAAAAAAGGAAAGATAGATTGGGTGAAAGCGAGTCGTAACCCGAACGGAATGTGGTGAATGGTGAATGGTGATGGTGGTTGAAACAATTTTGACACCACTCAACCATTCAACCTTTGCCACAATCTCATTCCTCTCTCTATATTCTCGCTAGAGAGAGAACATCGCCGCCGCCGCCACCCTTCCGGCGATGACATACCACCGCCTCCCCTCATTCCTACGCCGTTGATGCGCCGATCCAACGCCCGCACTCGCGTCAATCGCAACAACAACAGCCAAATGGATCCGATCAAAATCCGCTCCACCAACCTCTTCGCCCGGAACCCTAAGCCCTCTTCTTCGCGCTCTCTCCTCATCTTCCTCCCCCTCGCTCTCTCCCTTCTTCTCATTCTCTCCTACTACGCGTTCTCCTCCTCCTCGCTCCGCGCCGCTTTCCGCTACCGGATAATCGTCGACGGCGGGAGCACGGGCACGCGCGTCCACGTGTTCAAGTACCGGTCGGACCGGGAGCTGGAGTTCGGGGAGGAGGGGCTGGCGTCGATGCGGGTCAACCCCGGGCTGTCGGCGTTCGCGGAGGATCCTGGTGGCGCCGGCGGGTCGGTGGCGGAGCTGGTGGAGTTCGGGAAGAGGCGGATCCCGAGGGCGAGTTGGGGGGAGACGGAGATTCGCTTGATGGCCACGGCGGGGCTGAGGATGCTCGACGCGGAGGTGCAGGAGAGGATTCTGG